AATAACAGAAATAAGAGAAACCTTAAAAGTTCATGGAAACTGAACAACTCTTTACTGAATGGAAAATAGGCCAAGACAAGAATAAAGAGAGAAATTAAAAACATCCTAGAATTGAATGAGAATGAATGCACAACATACCTAAACTTGTGAGACACAATAAGGACAGGTTTAAGAGGTTAAGTTCATAGTATTAAGTGCCTACATACAAAATGAGAGAGATCTTATACTAGCAACTTAAGAGCACACCTGAAAACTCTAGAACAAACAAACAAAAAAGAAGCTGGGTGGTGGGGGTGCTCACCTTTAATTACAGCAATTTGGAGGCAGAGGCAGGCAGATCTCTGTGAGTTTAAGGCCAGCCTGGCCTACAAAGCTACACAGAGAAACCCTGTCTTAAATTCCCCCCCCAGAAAAAAACAAAATCAAGCAAAAACAAAATAAGAAGAATAAATCACATTTAAAAAGAGTAGATTTCAAGAAATAATCAATCTCAGGGCTGAAATCAATAAATAGAAACAACCAAAAAAACAATACAAAGAATCAATGAAATAATTAGTTCTTTGAGAAAATCAGTTTTCCTGAATTAACTAAAAGACAGAAAGAGAGAATATCCAAATTAACAAAATTGGAGATGAAAATAGGGATGCAAAACAACAGAAATCAATGAAATTCAGAGAGCCATAAGGACATAATTTTAAAAACTGCACTCTAAAAAATGTAAAATCTAAAAGAAATAGATAATTGTCTCAATGCACAACACTTATCAAACTTAAATCAAGATCAGATAAGCAATTTGAACAGACCTACAATGCCTAGTGAAATAGAAGCAGTCATTACAAATCTCTCAACCCAAAAAATAAATAACCAAATGAGGGTCAGATGGTTTTACTGCAGAATTCTACCAGACTATCAAAGAGGAACTAATTCCAATACTCCTCCTCAAATTATTGCACAAAATAGAAACAGAAGGAATATTGATCAATTCATTTTATAAATCCACAGTTATCTTGGCATTCAACCACCTAAGGCCTAACAAAGAGAATTACAAACCCATTTCCCTTATGAACACAAATGAAAAAATACCCAATAAAATACTGGCAAACTGAACCCAAGAACACATCAAAAAGATCATCCACCATGATCAAGTAGGCTTCACATCAGAGATGCAGGCATCATTTGAATAGTACATCAATAAATGTAATCTGCCATATAAATAAACTGAAAGACAAAAACCACATGGATCTCCCTGGGAAGGGAAATTAGATGAGATCTCCCAGGTAAACTGGGGGCAGGAGGCAGAAAAGGGGAGGGGAGATGAGAACATGAGGGAAAGGTATGGTTAAGTTGGGGGAGGCACAGAGTGGGAGAGCAATGAAAGAGATACCTTGATAGAGCCACTATGGCTTAGGGAGAATCCAGGTGCTAGGGAAATTCCCAGGAATCCACAAGGATGACCCAGCTAAGACTCCTAGCAGTAGTGGAGAGGGTGCCTGAACTGGTATTCCCCTATAATCAGATTGGTGAATACCATAACTGTCATCTTAGAGCCTTCATCCAGTAATTGATGGAACCAGATGCAGAGATCCACAACCAAGGACCAGGCTGAGCTCTGAGAATCCAGTGGAAGACAGATATGAAGGAAATTTTGTGCAAGGGAGGTCAAGATCATGGTGGAGAAATCTACAGACAGCTGAACCAAAATCATAAAAATTCATGAAATCTAGACCAAAAACTGTGGAGCCTCCAGGGGACCAAACTAGGTCCTCTGTATGTGGGAGAAAGTTGTGAAACTTGAACTATCTGAGGGGGCCCTGGCAGTAGGTCCAGGATCTATCGTTGGTGCATGGGCTAGCTTGTGCGAGCCCATTTCCCATGGTGCGATGCCATGCTCAGCCTTAAAGCATAGTAGAGGGGCTTGCCAGATTTGTTGACTCCTTGTGGGAGCCCTTACATCATTAGGAGTAGTAGATGGGGGTGGGTTGGGGAGAGGTGGGGAGCAGGAGGAAGGGTGGGAGGGAGAACTGTGGCTAGAATATAAAATGAAATTAAAAATAAATCTTCTAGGTGACAAAAATGGATAATATCAAGTTAACCCAGTGATCAGTCATGAAATTTTTTAAAACTCATTTGCTCCATTTAAAAACAAATTGAAATAAAGACTTCTTGAAGAACAACAACAAAGGAGACTGGATAAAGAAAATGTGGTACATTTACACATGGAATATTTCTTAGCCATAAAAAATGAACTTTTAAATTCAGGGAAATAGATAAACTAGAAAAAATCATCCTTTGTGAGGTAACCCACACTCAGAAAAACAAATATGGTATGTATTCACTTATATGTGTATGTTAGCTGTTAAGTTAATGATATTCAAGCTACAATCTGTAGAACCACAGAGGGCAGCTATAGAGTACAGGACTAGAGGGAACATTTGCCAATAGGGAACATAGGAATGATGTGTCTTGTTAAGAAATGGAAATAGGAAGATCAAGTGGGAAGGGAAAGAGAGAGGGAATTGATGGAGAGAATACAGGGGGAAGTAGCTAAAGTTAAGGGGAATTTGAGTGATACTATGAAAAAAGAAAAAAAGTAGAAACTTCCTAAAATATATAAGAAGGCAATCTAAATAAAATCACCAAATAATGGGGGAGACAAACCCTTAAGTGGACATCTCTTGTCACCAAATGAAACATTTCAGAACCAGGATTGGGTTATATCTAATTGACTTGTTGGCCAAAGAAGGTCCCATGGGAACTTCCAAACAGCCCATACTTTTGTCAAGACATTAGGTTCCTCTCTATGAAGTAACATCAACACCCCATTGTTAAAGACAACATCAACACAGATCATTGAACATGAAAAGTATAGCTGGTGCCTACATAAAGCTGTCACCCATATTTCCCAGTGTCTTTGGTACAGGAAGTTACTCTGCAGGCTACCAAAATAGTAGCATAAACACCAAGCCAGCCACAAATCCAATATCTGATTTGACTTAAGGTACACTCCACAAAATGGAACCTATGCTAACACTACTTGGGTTACCAAGAACCTGAGACTAGTTAGCCCAGAGACATAGGGTAAGACCAAATAGCCCTGGGTCTGTCCTGGAACTTGTTCTGTAGACCAGGCCAGCCTTAAACTCAGAGATCTGCCTGAATCTTCCTCCTAGTATTAAAGGTATGTGCCACCACTGCCCAGCAAATATTTATTTTCTAAATCTTTTTGAATTTCATTTTATATTCCACAGTTCTCCCTCCCATCCTTCCCCCCTGCACTCCCTCCCTCCTCAGCCCACTCCCCATCCACTCCTCCAAAATGGCAAGGCCTCCCTTGGGGAGTTGATAAAGTCTGGCACATTAAGTTGAGGCAGGCCCAAACCCCTCCCCTCTGCATTAAGGCGGAGCATGGCATCCCACCATAGGGAATCCAACAAGCTAAATCATACACCAGAGATAGATCCTGGTCCTACTGTCAGGGGCCAAGCTCCACAACTTTCTCCCACATGTAAAGCAAAGCATAACCAGATTACAGTCCACAGCTCCAGAGAAGCTAGGTAACAAGGAAGACTCTAAGAGGGACACATGGATCACCCTAGGAAGGGAAGTTAGATGAGATTTCCCAGGTAAACTGGGGGCAGGAGGCAGAAAAGGGGAGGGGAGATGAGAACATGAGGGAAAGGTATGGTTAAGTTGGGGGAGGCACAGAGTGGGAGAGCAATGAAAGAGATACCTTGATAGAGCCACTATGGCTTAGGGAGAAACCAGGTGCTAGGGAAATTCCCAGGAATCCACAAGGATGACCCAGCTAAGACTCCTAGCAGTAGTGGAGAGGGTGCCTGAACTGGTCTTCTCCTGAATCAGATTGGTGAATACCCCAAATGTCATCATAGAGCCTTCAACCAAGCACCAGGCCCAGCTCTGAGAATCCAGTGGAAGTCAGGGAGGAGGGAATATATGAGCAAGGGAGATCATAATCATGAAGGAGAAATCTACAGAGACAGCTGAACCAAGCTTCTGTAAACCCAGACTGACAGCTGTGGAGCTTCCATGGGAACTAACTAGGCCCTCGGCATGTGGAAGAATCTATTTTCTTTAAAATAAAATTTTATTTAAATTAAAAACATTTTACATATCAAACCCAGTTCCCTCTCCCTCCCATCGTCCCATTCCCCGACCAAACCCCCTCCTACCCCCATCCACTCCTTAGGGAGGGTGAGGCCTCCCACGTCATTTGGGGCAGACCTTAGGCCCTCCCCTGTGTTTCTAGGCTGAGAGAATAGCCCTCCATGGGGAAGGGACTCCCAAAGTCTGTGCACTAGGGATAAATACTGGTTCCACTGCCAGAGGCTCCAAAGACTGCCCAGGCCTCCTAACTGACACCCACTTTCAGGGAACTGGTTCAGTCCTGTGCTGGTTCCAAAAAAGGAAAAAAAAAAGATAAATGCGACAAAGCCCAGAGTGAAAAGCAAGTTCAAATTCCGATTCCTTTAGCACCCATCCTTCAGATGATGATATAGTGATATATCCTGTTTTGTGGCTCTGGGAAAAGGTGAAGTTTTCTAATTTTCTTCCCCAAACTAAGTAATATTTCTTTGCCACTTTTCTGGACAAGCAGATCCTGTATCCATACACCTTCCTCAACTCATGAGCCTTTCTTCTTTCTCTCAGAGGAAGGTTTAAGACACATATCTTTTACTTTAGACTTGAAGAAAAGGTGCTGAATCAATACATTTTTTCCAAAGGGAAAACCATAACACCATTGACAAATGACACCATCCTGCCAGTGTTTTCCTTAGTTATTTTGACTACTCAGAGCATAATAGGGACAACTAAACATGAACTTCCCATAAGTTTCAAAACTGTCCAGGAGTCATAAGGGTCAGAGATAATTTTTTTCTAAGAACACCAAAAGGTTGAACTCTGGACTTAGTCCTATAGCCAAGGTACATTTTCAAGTTTGTTGGGTATTTATGCGTATCCTAGGAATGCTGAAGAAATAGTTAAATGGGAAGCCCAATTTATTCTCCCAGTTCAGCTTACAACATATCATGATTTCCCAAACCACCTTACATATTAACATAGCTTTCATAATCTTTTATAAATTGAACAGTTTTGAAATCACTATATTTTATATGCAAAGTACACGTTACATTTATTCTTTAAGAAAATACATATATAAACATACAAATATATAAATAGGGGGTATTCCATATCACACACACACAAAATCAATGTCAACTTTGTGTTCATTAAAGGATTTCCTAGGTCTTCAGCTCTGGTCACTCAGAACATATTCATGAGACAAGTAAAACCTTCAAAGAGAGCTCCAACTTTTTTTCAGTGAAGACAATATCACTACAACTTATTAAGGGAAAGTGTACTGGGCTATGAGAAGAGAGGAGACAGCTACTTTAAACTGGCTTGTCATGACAATACTGAAGAGACTAATAGTAGAGCCTGAATTGATTTCTAAGTATATATGTGAGCAAAATGATGCCAAGTAATAGATCCCCAAATATTCAGTCCAGTGAGCATCAACCACTGGGAAAGGATTAATTACCAATTAACTGAGTTAATTAATGATAAATGTAAAGAAACAAATAGGAACAGTGGCAAGCACATACCCTCACCCTTAAATCAGGTCTTATCACACCGAGAATGGTAAGAAGACTAGTCAATAGTTATGCAGGTACTTCGACATAATAAACAGGCACATCAGTGAGAGTTGCTTACTAGTAGTGCTGCCTGGAGAGCAAATTCAGTCTCTCCTCTGGCCCTGTCCCTCAGAGACTAAGGTAGATATCTGGATCATAGTTGTAGAGAACAAAGTCATAAATTCCTTCTTTGCATTCTCTCCCAATCTCCAAAGCATTCAAGATTCCTTTCAACAAGAAAAGTATCATTTATTTGCAATATTGTTTCAACACTTATAAGTACAGGATTATAGAGGCAAGCTGGGCTGGGAAGAGAGCACAGTAGTAGAGCACTTGCTCACTATCCTCAGCACCACTAAAAGGAGAGAAATTCAAAAGTTTAGTCCCAGAGAGAGTTCTATACTTCCCAAGAAGCAAGGTTGTCCTTCCAGAGACCCATGCCCAGAAGAGCCGACTGAACACACAAAACAGATGAGCCCAGAATGAAGTCACCTCCAGGATGTCACATATTCTACTACCATGGACCAGTGTTGTTTTCTGTGAAGTCACAATAAAAAATGACATAATAGCACATCTCTAGAAAAGCATCTTATCCAAGCACTGCAGACTCTGACTAGTAAGATCACACTGATCCATGCTATGCTACCAGTACCAGGAAATTCTTTTGCAAGCTGAGGAGTTCACAAATGAGGGGAGAGATTTAAATAATGCTAAAGATAACTACTTTGTGGTATTTTAAATTACTTTTAAAAATATTAAGACATGATCCTAACATTTATAGAATTTTAAGTGCTCTTATATTTTAAGCATAAGCACAATATTTTTTTAAAGATAAGGAACAGAAACTGTAGATTGGGTAGATCACTGTCATCTTTAACACCAAGAATGCTGTCTTTGTTGTTATCTACATGTGCAGGACTGGGCAATCATACCCTCATACTCCTTGTACAAGATACTCCCATTTGCCTCAACCAGAAGTATGCTCATAGGAAGAAATTTATAAGGGACACAGGAAGGTTGAGGTACACTGTGATTCACTAGTTCATTCACAAGGCTCTGAATGATGGCATGGTTGGGTGAATTGAGACCATAGGGTAGCACACGACCGCAGAATCCTTTACAGTAATTTGGAGTGTAGAGACGGGGTGCAATGATCCAGTGATCCCAGCCTAGTTGATGGAAGCTGACCTTGTAAGTGTGGAGGGAACACTGGTTGTTTACAGACCTATCATGTTCCTGAGAATGACAAGGGACATCAGCTGCAATGTTGCATGCTTGCCGGGCACTCCGCATGAGAACAGAAGATTCCCTATCAGTTAACTCCTCTTGGCCTTGTGCAAGAAGTTTAGCCTGCACACTCCTGTCAGTGTCATTGAAATAGAGCAGCAAGAAGGCGACATCCAAGGATGACATACCATGCCACTGGAACTCAAGAACCTCACTGCCTTTTTGCTGTTGACACATGAAGCGGAGGCGAAGGACTCTCCGTCCCTTGCGATTCCAGAGTCTCTGCTGAACACAGTGTGTAATATCCATCTCTGTCCAGGTTTTAGACATGGGAGGCGACTTTGAGGAATCGGTTTCTGAAGAAGGAAAGTGCTTGTCCAGGCATTTGGGGACCCAAGGTTCCACATGGCAGGAGAGATGGTAATGAATTAGATGAAGTTGATGGCGGTAAACCACAGTGGCTCTGATTAGTTGGTATGCTACCTGATCTGATGTTAGAGGAAAGTCCAGGATCTGTACATGCCAGAGACCTGCAAAAATGTGAAAGAACAGAACCCACTGTTAGTGTCTTATCTCCCACCTGAATATCCTATAAAACCTCTGAATGTAAACTGATAGTTGCAATAAGCCCTGAAATTAACTCATTTATTGAGCACTTACTAGTACACTATTCTAGTACCTACACAGATTCTTTAATTCACAATAGTATTATGAGATAGTTATTATCACTGTTTTGTAGATAATGGCATGGAGGCTTACAAAAGCCATCAAAGGACACTGAAGCAACGGCTGGGCATGAAGCTTACTATGACCAGTTCAGGTCCTGGATCCTGTACCCTGAACTGAAAAAGAACGAATGCCGCCAGCACCTGGTACGTTAAAGACCTGAACCCAAGTCTATCGATTCTAAGCATAAATCTATCTTACTTTTGGACTATTTGTTAGTATTCAGGCATCTGTACTGGCCTGTCCTTGGGGTTCTGACAGGATATGCCCTCAGTTGCAGTCACTAAAAGCACCACCTGTGCCTATTCACTATGTTCCTCAATAAAAGGGCCCTGCCCACCTCCCATCATACTCTCTGTTCCTGCCTCTCTGCCTCTCTCCCTCTGTCTGTCCCTGCCTCTCTGCCTCTCTCTCTCTCCCTCTCTGCCTCTCTCTTGCTCCCTTTCTCTGTTTCTGCCTCTCTGCCTCTTTCCCGTTGTTCCTATCCCTGGAGGACAGTCTCCCCTCTTCCCTTTCCCCTTTTTATGATCTTTCCCTAATAAAAGTACCTCTGCTTGAACCCTGTCCCATGGCATCTGTCTTGAGCCACTTTTCTTATATTACAACACTATTAACAGTGAAAACTCAAATATAGAATATTTTGTATGTATATATTGAAGACCAGTTATATTATCAGTCAACTATTAAAAGTGACCAATTAAGAAAACTATCAAAACACACATATATAAAGAAAGGATTTCCATGTCATAGCACTATGAAGATATAGTTGTAGGGAAAATAATCTAATATTGGGTGCTATGGCTGCCATGAATCACTGAACCGGGTGCTTAACCATCTTTGCATCTCTGCCTTCCACCAACTTCAAGAACTGTTTCTCAATCTTTTCCTTCAGCTCAGTCTCTCCTATCCCCTCAGGTTTAGGTTTAGTCCATTCATTTTAGAACCGTGCCTCTGAATGCCGTTTCAGTAAGAACCTTATTACATGAATAGTCTTTGTTAAAAACAACAACAAAACAACCTGCTCCAGCCAGTGGTGGCTGTGCATGCCTTTAATCCCAACACTTGGGAGGCAGAGGCAGGTGGATCTCCGAGTTTTAGGCCACCCTTGTCTGCAGAGCGAGTTTCAGGTCAGCCTAGCCTACACAGAGAAACCCTGCCTCAAAAACACAAAAAATAAAATAAAATAAAAAGGCACCCAAACTGCATGCAACCTAGGTTTAAAAGCTCTAATTCAAATTATAGTGCTGACACCCTGTGGCCAAACCATGATCAGAGTATATTCTTGAAAACAAATTTAGTTCCAAAAATAAATAGTGGAAGTGTCTGTCTGCAGAGCTCTGGACTTCTTTTCCTGGTACAGGTTAACAGTAGACTAGAAAACAGACAGCACAGGGTAAAGTCTTCTGTTGTGTTGGAACATCTTAGTATGTCCGTGTATTATTCACCTAACCTTCCTTTTCCACAGAATGTGCAAGCCTAAAATTCTCCAAGGGGACAGTCGTTTTCAACAGAGAAGTCCTTAATGTCTTGGTGTTCAAAATATTTTTAGAAGTTTCCATTCCAGCTCATGCCTAACACACCCTCAGGTTTGCAGCACTGGCCTTCATTCTAGGGAAGGAGACCCAAGCTACCCTTGTACTTCTTTCCGAAAGTTATCCCATATTCTCCTCGTACAAATTTTCCAAGAGGCCCACCCCTGCATCTGCCCCACCCTGCAAAGGAACCCCACCCAAATCTCTAGCAGGCTGTCTGCTGAGGAACTGCCCTTTCCTTTCAGACCTTGACATCACATGTTTCCTGAAGCAGGGTGGGGCTGCTGAGAACCTGAGCCAGGAAGGGTCTGTGAAGACTTTTCAAGGGAAGGGATGACTCATACATCCTGTGTGATTGAGCTTCTGGATTCTTCTATAGGCCTTAGATGCCAGTTGAGCCACAGTCACCCAGGATCCTTGCAGTCCTAGGCATCCATCCCATCACCAGTGCACCCTTGATTTGTTCAGTTTTCTGCCACACTTGCAGGACTTTGCAAGTCCCTGCCTCTAAAAAGTCTCAGTTACTGCCATTTCCCACAAGGCTCCAGCCCCACTAGTCTTTCCCCATCTTCAAGTGGGATATGCTTGTTTCTGCCCTTTAAGTCTTTACAAGTTTCTTCTGCCTAAGTCAGGTTCTGCCCAGTTTCCTCAGTTACACCTTCTTACAGACCTCAGCCCAAATACCACTTCTTCAAAGCTATCCCTCCTACAGAAAGAGGTGACTTTACTATTCACTATTGCAAGGCATTTCACTTGCCACAAATTGTAATTATTTAACAGCTTGCTAATTTATTTCCCCCATAAGAACACGTGTTCTATGAGAGCAGGCGCTATATTTGTCTTAATCACATCTTTATTCATAGCATTCAGTAAATACAATTTGCTGAACTAATCTCTACCACCACACCATTTTTCTTCCCTAAATAGTGCACCTCATTGTCTACATGCATCTCTCCTTACTCCTTTCTCAAATAGCATCTCAAATAGTGTCTCTTCATTGAGGCCTCCTAACTAACATCCCTGCTTCCCTAATTCTGATCAGTGAGTCATTCTTCAAAGCACTCATCATACTTTATCATTATGTAATTGTTTACCAATTATTCAATACTAGGAACCCTCAGAGGCTAGGAAAGATGTTATTTGCCTTTATGCCAATACCACACACACACACACACACACACACACACACACACACACACACACACACACACCCCAACCCAAACACAGCAACTTGTGCTCAATTAAAATCCCCTACTGAGCGTTCATCATGGTATGGTAATTAAGATTACAGACACTGTAGTTTCAGAGCCTGACATCTGCTTCTACCTATTACTAGCCATGTGGCATTAGAGTTTCAGTTTCTTCACCTATAAGTGTCTATACTATCACCTCCTCTCATAGTATTAAAAATACTCCCATAGAGATGCACACTTACCCTCGACTCTTGGGGAAGGGTCTAGGTCCTGCCCTGGATGAAATGACAGACTATGGACACCCCCATGGAGAGCCTCACCCTCCCTGGGGAAAGGAAGGCATATTGGAGGGATTTGATGGGAGGGCATGGGAAGAGGGGAGGAAAAGGGAGAGGGGCCTGGAATTGACATGTGAAGCAACCTTGTTTCTAACTTGAATTTAAATTTAAAATAAAAGATATAAAAGATAATATCAGTTATTATACTTGGATGAAAGAGTGCAAATCCTGTCTGTTAGTATCTCCGAGAGTAATTCAAACCCCATACTGATCTCATCAAGTTCCTAGGAACTCACTGAAGTTGACGGCTATCTTTACTTCAGGAGACTAGGAACAGTATCCAAGTCAAATACTCAAACAGAATAGAGAATAACATGCACAAACAAATACACTTTGTCTCATGATACCAAAATCTCAAAGAGGTAATGTGAACCAATTAATAAAAGTGCTTGGTGTAAGGATATCTGCGTAGTGCATTTAGAATCATATGGTCTAGAGTTTAAGTCTCATCTCTGCCAGCCAGTGTCTGGAGGACATTTGCAAGTTACTGAACCTCTCTGTGCCTTATTTTTCTTATATTTAAAATTAAGCTCACTGCCCCATGACAACAAATGGAAATGACTGTCATTAAGATTAGACATAGTAACAGGGAGGTCATAATAGGATCATGTATGTTGAATTTCAGATGATAGCTTCTTTCTGTCTGAGGCCATGCAAGTTTTCCTAGCTCATTATCTTGTAGTCTTTGCCTTCAAAGAGCAACCATCGACATAAAAAGCCCTAGTTTAAGAGGTATAACAACTTAAAAAATACAGGGGTTCATACTGTACTTAGCTGTCCTGCTTCCCAGGAAGATTGCTCAGTAGGACCCAAGGCAATTTTTTCTAACGTTGTGTCTCGAATGGAAAATAGGTTTGGAACCAGCTTTTCATACGCTTCCAACCATTTGAAAGCCACACATGACCAAATCTGCTCACCAATCAATGACAACACACCAAGCCTCCTTTCTATCTACACATTTCCCCTCTTCTGTTCCCTGAAGGGCTGTAGGGCCACAAGAACTCACCTCTCAGAGGCCTTACTGCATTGGCTGAGGGCTTTACCAGCCTCACCATTTTAGCTCCAATCGTGCGATTCTCCCTAGGATGCCCATGCAGATCAGCCGAACGCTGGTATAACTTCATCATATACCTCAGGGGATATCCTTGGGGCCGTGACTTCATCTCCTTGTCAGGGGCTTCTTTTGCCAGATCCAGATTCAAGGGCAATATGGGGTCATCAGCAAGGAGGGTGACGGAGGGCCACCCTGCCTTTGCCATTTGAACCCTGTGTTCCATAAAAAATACCATTCCCCAAAAAAGAATTCTAAGAATTGTGAGAAGGGCCATCTTGAAAAGCTTGGTGCTTGTCAACGGATTCCTACTCAAGTCCAAAGGACATCACTCTGACCTCTTCCACATCCTGGTTTAACAAACACCAAAGACAGGGCAGGAAATCAAAAGAAAAGCCAGCTGGCAGACCCTCTCTTGCTTCCTGTGGGAGAATCTTCTGAGCCAAAGCAAGTCTCCTGACTAGGATTCTTGGCACAAAAACAAACAGAAGCAGCAAGTGGGACAAGGCACCATGCCCTACCCACTCTCCATTGGTGGAAACCACACAGTACTTCTCAGACAGGCTAAAGTAACCTAGGAGGAGAGGCCCATTCCAGGAACCTGGAGTGCACCCAATCTAATAGGTTAAAAGGAAGCAGCCTTACCCAGTGCTACCACAGATTTAAAGGCAATCCCTCAATCAGGCCTTAAAGAGACAGAGGCCTCCTCTTCCCATCCAACTTCTATACCTCTTAGTGAAGCATCTCACAGAAATGTGGTTTGCTGCTAGCTGGTGGTGAAACTACCTAGGATGATTACTGGTTCGGATGTAAATAAATAAATAAATAAATAGGTGATAAAAAGAATGTATTCTCCTGTATCCAGTCTCAAACACAAACTCTATGAGGGTAAGGTCTCAGTAAGTGCTTCAAGAGGTCTCTACAAACAGTAGAATGAAAATCATTGTGTGAGTGTGGCTATTAGAAGAGCCCTTGCCTAGTGATTCACAATCCTGGCTGTACGTTGGAGTCAGCTGGTCAGATTCTACTGGCCTGAGTGTCATTCCTGGGGATTCTGCTCCACAAGGAGGTTTTCAGCTCACAGGTGATTGTAATAGAGTTAAGTTTGAGAACGCCAACTTGGAACTTGCTGGTTTACCATGGGAAGTGGTGAGTAGGTATCTTCTGAGAACCCCAGGGCAATGGAAGTTGAATTTTGGGGAGCTTGTCTGACCTAGGTTCCTAATAGGAGGCAACAGGACTGGGTCACTTGGTTTAAGCTTCCTTGGGCAACAGTAAATTTGAGAGATTTGAGAGATGGTAGGTTATGAACTTGCTCTCCCCCAGGTTGATTGGAGATTTGGTGAGAACATAAGGCATGATGGGGTAAAGAGTTGAGTTTGATGGGTGAGGCCTGAATTACTGTATAATGATTACTGTATAATGTGACTATCTATAAACAGGCAACATTATCATGAAAGAAGCATGGGCTTTGGACTTTTGCTTTTGTTGTTTTCTGTTTAAGTTTTACATACCAGATTTCAGGGGGTTCATCGTTATTGAGACTGCTATGCCATGAATTCAGAAAGCATAGATTTCCAGCAGCACAGGTTTCCTCCTCAAATGTGCTTTTCTCTCCATAGTGCAGGCTGGACTTTCAGTTGAACACAGATTCCTTGATCTTTGGCTTTCAACTGAAGTTTTTGCTGCTTTTGTTTTCAGATAGCATACAAAATAATGGGTTTCATTATATCATTTCATATATGAATATTACTGTACTTTGCTCATATGCACCCCCATGAATTTCTCTTATACTCTTTCCTCCAGCAAACAGTCTGCCCCAGGCCTTCATATCATGGAGAACATGTGATGGTTGTCTTTTCATTTCCCTGCCTCTTCATCTCTTTCTATATGCTACATATGAGAAAAAATTGACATTAAAGTCTTATTTCTCTTACTATGATGTGATGGTCTCTAGTTGAATTTTATTTTCCTCCAAATGCTCTTCTTTGTACTTCAAAAAAGAATTATTTTAAATTATGTTATGTACTGGTGAATATGGGGGCTCACAGAGACCAGAAAAAGTCTTAGGAGGTTGTGAAACTGCAACATAGTTGCTGGGAACCAAATTGTATTCCTCTGGAAGAGTGGTGCATACTATTAAATGCTAAGCTATCTTTCCAGCCCCTCTATTGCTTGTCTCTATGGCTACATAAAACTCACGTGCGTGTTCCCACAGGTATATCACATTTTCCTTATCTATTCACCTGTTGATGGACATCAGCAGCTTCTATTATTGGGCATTTATTTGTCTTCAGAAATTTCAAGAACATACCTTGGATTAAATGGTGCTTGACATGTGCAGCATACAAATTAATTTTTCTTGGTAACAGTCTAGCCCTTAACATGTTGGTTTATAAGAATGCCTATATGCAATGGGGTAACACTGTAGACTTTTCTCCTTTTGCCATAATAACCCTTGTGAGGCATCCTTTTGAACAGTACCCAATTCTTTCACTATCTATGCTCTCGCCTTTCGTTTATATTTTGAATGGCAAATTCCAGGTCCTCCACTTGTTAACTTGTAGTGGACAATTTACTCAGTTTCTCTTTGTCTCCAACTTTTTTATTTTTAAATTTCAATTAGAAACAAGGTTGCTTCACATGTCAATCCCAGGTCCCTCTCCCATTTCGCATAGTCATTCTCTTAATTTCTAAGAGGTAACCTGAAATTTTGTGAGGACTAATGAAACTAATGTATGTCTGGAACAAAGTAAGTTCCAAGTGCAGGTCAGTTTTTATTATCTGTGATGTATGCTACTCGCCTTGTTAAGCTGGGGCCGAGCCTAATGGATTTATCCCACCTTCCTGTGCTTTAGAGGGGCAGCCAACAAGCCCCCTTACCCCCTCTCAGCCTTCAGTACCCTCCCACTCTCCCTCTCAGTTTCTTTTTCTTTTTCTTTTTCTTTTGGTTTTTATGAGACAGAGTTTCACTGTATTGTTTTGGAGGCTGTCGGTCCAGCCTGGCCTCGAACTCACAGAGATCTGCCTGCCTCTGCCTCCCGAGTGCTGGGATTAAAGGCATGCGCCACCACCACCTGGCTTCCCTCTCAGTTTCTTTTTGCTATGAGAATTGAACTTTTGGGTTTGGCAAATGTTAGGCAAGTACTCTACTACTGACTTACATCCCAGGTCACCTTTTAGTTGTGAGACAGAGTCACATTAAGTTACTCACACTTACTTGGAACTCACTCTGTTACTCAGGCAGGCCTTTAGCTTGTGGTCCTCCTGCTTTAATCTACTTCATAGCTAGGATTACAGATCTGTGCCACTAGACCTGGCCTCCTCCCTGTCTAAACTACTTCTTTGCTATTTGACCCTTGCCTTTAAAATATATATCATATATTGTGTTCTATGTAATAATACAAACAAATAGGGAGGCTAACTACCAATGGTCCATGTAAGGGATCATGATTTTCTTTGATGTTTCAGTCTTATATGGAAATTATATCAGTCAAGAACATCTTCATGACATCTTTTTTTTTGTAGTGAGATTCTGATGTGAGAGCAAAAAAAATGTAGAGAAGGAGAACATGTACTGAAACTAGTATCTCTGAGGCTTTAACTCCTGGCTCTTCCACTGTGAGGATGTTGCTTAGCCTTTCTCCATCTGTTTAATTAATTGTACATTGGTACTGTCAGGATTTGATGTGCTTTAAATGATACTTATATAAATGAGAATTTATATAAAGTATCTAGCAACTAGTTAATCTTCATTCAATACATGGTGTCAGTCATTAATAGCCTTAAAGTATATAAATAAAATGTTCCGTACTGAAGAAAATACCTTCTTGGAGTCCTTCCAATGCTTAAGATGGCTGGGTATGGTGCCCTCACTCTTGTAAACTCAGAAGTCAGGTAGATGAGGTAGAACATTACAGGTCCCAGGCCAATCTTGGCTACATAAATGAGACACTGTCTCAAACAAAATGGTTCACCATAAATCTTAATTTTCTTCACAGTGACACAGTGTTTTCCCCCCAAGCATTGAAGATTTAACTAAGGGTATTTGCATATTCCAGGCAAGTACTTCACCACTGAGCTGTAGCCTCAACCTACAGTACTTTTTATATTCTCTTGTTAAAGCAAATGTATTAATAATTACCAATGTATACAATTTTAAATATTCTTAAACTTTGAAATTTATAGAAAATCCATATAATCTTTCAATTTTCTGACAAGTAATTTGTACAACTATCTATAACTAACATGACCTAACATTGTAAAAAACATAGCTATGCTCAAAGCATCCCCGCTGCAAGGGATGGTATCTCAATGAAGTTGCCCAGGTTGACCTTATTTATACTCCTGCCTTAGCCTTCAAAACAGCTGCAATTGTGAGTCTTTGCCACCTGGCCCAGGTCAATAATCTTGTTTTCAGAAAAAGACCCTCAAGTCAACCTCCTCCTTATCATTTGAATGGAAAGGAAGGAATTTGACCTGTTTTCCTAGAAATGCACTCTGGTGGCTCAATGCATGCCACTGCCCCAAATCCCCAGAAGAGGGCGCCAACTGTATTTCTAGCCCTACAGTTCTAGGATGGTAGGGTGGCTATTGTAGACAAGTGGAAAAGATCTACCAGTCCCCTACATGTGAGAAAAGTCTAACTATATAAATGAGAGAATTTAGGAGGTGATTATTGACATGACAAAAGGGGTTCTTCACTGTACGAACTGCTAAACAGCAGGAACCCCTAATGGGCACTATGGGTTCACTTTTTTCAAATTATACATGTGTTACATACATTAGCAAAAAGCTTGTGACTCTTTATAAAGAGTAGATTTGTACCCAATTTCTGGGAACAAGGCTATTATAATCAGTGCTCATGTATGATGATGCCCTTTCTTTGTACAATTATACTTTGTTTTCATAGCTGTATTCTTTTTACAAATCTCAAACAAGTACCTTCTATGTAATAAAAATATTGGAAGTGACCTCAGATTTGAATTCCAGCTTTACCACTTGCTGAGTATTTTTAAGAGAATTGACTTAATCACTGTTCCTTACTTCACCATCTAATTCTAAGGATAAGAATAACACAACTTTAGAGGGCAGTTGTGAGGATGGATTCATGTAAGTGACAAGCATGCTGTGCTCTAGATATTATTCCCAACTCTGACAGTGCAGAAATAAATCAGACAAGCGCTCTATCAGTAGCACTCTCGGGCAATAGGAAAGCACTTAGTTCAGCTGGAAGATGACAAGATTGAAGAGTTTCTCTAGCAAAAAGTTAGCACCTGGATATAATAGATAGGAAACACCATGACTTTTCCTCTGATTACTGCTTTGGTTTCTTAGAAAATGATTTCCTAGATTGTGCTTAAATTTTAAAAATCCATCCCAAACAAAAGAGTATTATATGCTTTACAAAAATAATTATTGATTTGGAACATACATCCTTTCACATAATCATGTAAACACTGTCAATGAAGTGCCAGTTTCATTTACAGATGTAAAGCTTAAGAATCAGACAGGGTAAGGTTCCCAAAGCTACACACTGCTTGAGGAGTGACATTTACAAAGATTTGGACTCTTGGGAAGCTGATTTCAAGTCTCCCCTCCTTGAACCTCGTGGCTAATTTAGAATCTGCTAATGTGCATTTAACCATAAGGAAACACAG